AGGAGGTGGTCATGAACAGATGGAGCAGGAGCCAGCAGGAGGTGGTCGCAGGAGCCTGGAGGTTTCACATGTGGAGTTGGACAGTGAATCCAGCTGAGAAGAGCCAAGTAAGTGACAGAAGCTGAGTGTTTACAAATAAACAATGTTTAACAACCTGTTAAAATGCAGGAAATCACATCTATTCAAAACTTTATGGGGGAGGACCCCTCCCCAGCCCGCCCACTATTTGTGCTTCGGTTTACAAATGAAGCCCTGCCTGTAACCGCATGTCTGCGCTACACATCTCCTTCGTACTTGTTTACACTCTGGGTGAACGTGCAGACACAGGTCAAATGTCAGGTGCAGCCCTCTTGTGCATTTGAGCGTGAAAATCATCTCCCATCTCGAAGTAAAACAAGGTACTGGCATAAATGACCCATGGACCAGGTTTCCTGCTGGATGTGAAGGTTCTGCGCTGATGTAAGACCCGTGGCGGTCTGTAATCAGGTCCATACTCAGTCAGGGTTTAACTACACTTGAGGGGAAGACCGGGCTTATGTGGATTCTGTTTCAAGGTTTCCTTTCAGGCAGATTTGGCAGCGTGAGCCACAACACAGATCTTTCAAGTCAAACCTTTGGTTTGAATTATTTAGATGTCAGCTTGTTGATTGCACTCTTAAAAACACTTCGTTTTACTTGCAGTTGTAAAACCAGGGTTTGAAACAGTAAGTGAAATATGAAGGACTGTGTGAGTGATGTTAGCAGAGGACAGGAATATAAATGATCTCCTGGAAAGAGAGTCATTTATTTTACTTTGAGCGCTCACTATCGTTATCTGACTGAAATGATTCAAAGCAGCCCTCAGCTGTTACAAGTCAGAGCAGCGGACTAGCGTCGTCAAAAACTTGTCATTCCTAAAAGCTTTTATCATTTTAAAGAAGGCTATGCTCTGAAATCTCCACTAAAAACAATCAAATGGTGCGTATTCCTGTGAACCAGACGTATCACAGCAGGGCTCTTCAACTGGTGGCCCACGGGTGACCAATCCGGCCCACTTCATCTTTCTTTGTGTGGGGGGGGGGGGGTTCTGTTTATTACGAAGGAGCTTTAGGGCCACGCTAAGAACAAAAATTACATTGCCATGCTAAAAAAATAAAATAAAATTAAAAGCCATCATATTACAAGAAAAAAGTCATACGAGACTTTTTTTGCAGCTCTCGTTTATTTTTATTTATTTCCACAAGTCGGATCGACGACGTGACCTGTCAGTCAATCCAGTAGGCGTGTCAGCGAATGACCAGTCCAAAGTTAAATGCTCCTTACCTGCAGAGCTGTGCTGCAGCCCATCACAGCATACCGTGAGCACGTTCAAAGTCCTGATACCGATTATAATCTGATGCTGATGTGCTGACAGATTAACGGTCTCCTTATTTGTATGGTATAAAGTTTATTCATTTTAAAAAGGTACAAAACAATTCCATAACAATATAAAAAAGATACAAAAGATTTAAAATGAAAGGCAGCAGAAAAAAGAAAAATCTTATTATATCTTCCCCTTTTTTCAAACAATTATTTCAATCATAATAATTTTCAAGTAACAGAACAAAATGAATAACTTTCTAATTTTTCTAATTCTAATACAAAACACACACTAAGCTACTTCATATATACTTTTTTAACAATTCAGCTTTGATATTTTTCTTAAATGTTCACATTGACTTGACATTTTTCACATCACTCTCTAGAACATTCCACAATCCAACTCCTTGGATTGAGGTAGACCTTCCCTTCAGACTAGTTCTGAATGTTGGTTTGACAAATATCTCTATCCCCTTAA